ATAACCACCACACTGCTACCCCACCACTCCCCTGCTCACACCCACAGGCCTCCATATGCAGCAGGTACTAAAATCACCGGGGAGGCTGTAGTGGGACATACTGCAGATGGAGTTGCAGAGACAGGCTCAAGTGCAGAGCAGCTAATCAAAGAAGAGGAAGACTCTGGGGTACAAGGTGGCTGGGTTGACTTGCCTGTAGAGATCAGTAGCACTGTTTTACCAACTCTTAAAGGCCAAATCACATCAAAAATACAGGACTCAACACTAGAAATCAACAAACTTGAACCTTTCAAACAGCACTCCATTACTGGCACAGATCAGAAGAAACTTTCAGATGTTGCTGCCAAGTCGTCCAGCCCAACTTCTGACTATCACTTTGAGTTTTCTTACACAAGTTCTGCCAGTCAATCCAAACTGCCCAGCATAATCTCCACACAGAGTGTGGATCTGACAACTCCTTCAAGTTCTTCACTCTTTTATACGTTCGACCAGAGCTCCCAGTCTGTTCCCCAGTGGGCTCTGAGCCCTGATCCTTCTGCCTCTGCTTTACAAGAGGAGGAATTTGTGGACTATGACAGAATAATCAAGCCTGGTTTGTTGGAGTCACTGCCAGAGTCCCCGGTTGAGATTGGGGCTACAGAGAAGCCAGAGGATGGCACTGATTTAGTTTTTTCCATGGAGGACAGCTCTGTGGATGTCAGAGGTACAAGAGCTTGGCTGATATGGGTTTGAGAACAAAAATATATTTTTTATGTTGGGCTAAGTTAATGTTGCAGCATGTTTAAACCATAAGAGCTAATGCACTTTACAATACTACTATGTTCTCCTCCATCTTCATTTTATGTGCAGATCTTCTTCCTTGCTCAGTCAATGTATGTCAGAATGGAGGTTCCTGCTACAAAAATGGATCCCAAAGCATCTGTGTTTGTGCTCCTGGAGTTTCTGGACAACACTGTGAAACAGGTACACAGACACACATTAAACCTCCTGTGCTGACAGACTGATGGTGTGTAATAATAATGGCATGTGGTGTGTCTGCAGATGTTGATAAATGCCACTCTAATCCGTGTCTCAATGGAGCCACTTGTCAAGATGGGGTCAACTCCTTCACCTGCCTCTGTCTGCCCAGTTACACAGGACAGCTCTGTGAACAAGGTCAGATGCTCAAATCTGGATCTGTAAATATATTTTTAGGATAGTGGGTTTCTAGTTTATTTTACTTCTTTATGTTTATTTTTCATGATTTTCACCATATTTAAAACTTTTTTATTTAAAAAGGTATTAATATTATTGCATGCAATTTATTTCATTTTTTGTGTTACTTTTACCAGCAAAAATTATTGCCATCAATTAAAAATAGGCTACATGATTTAGTGGGGATTTTTCAGTTATGCAGATGACGCTCTATACAGCTATTTTAACTTGTGCGTCTTTAAAGCCTCTGACTTTTTAAAACTGTGATATCTACTCGAACATGTCTCAGACACTGAGTTGTTTCTAAACTCTAAAAAATACAGAATGGCTAATCAATGCCCCAGATAGCATCGTTGCACTAATCAAGCAACTAGATGATCATCTTGCCTGCCACCTTTCACACCAGCATTTTAAATGAAAATCATCTTATCTCTAAATATGACATATTTCAATCTGTTAGGTCAATGCTTAAAATAAGATGTGCACAATCACAAGACATGTTCTTTTTTCACAAATACGTAAAGATTTGGACAGATAGACAATAGGTAAAAGCCCCCGAGGCTCAATGGGATTAACATGTATAAACAAAGGTTGAATGTTACAAAACCTTGTGTGACCTTTTAGCACTCAGATTACATGTTGGGGATGACTCTCAGCTTCTACCACACCAAATATTAGGTCAGTATTTATACAACTGAAAGAGTTACAAACAGTTTTGTGGTAGCTAAGGCCAATTAGCTGTGTCATCTGCGATCATCTTGAATAAGTTTGACCCCAAACATTAATTAGTTGAAGATGTACACCAAATATGTTTTATTAAATTGACCCAGTTATTTAGAAGTTACAATGATAAAGACAGATATTTAAACATACATGCACGCAGACCAAAACACTCACAATATTGTCCCCCTTTCATCAGCAGGCAATAATTAGGACAGTGTCAAAATACGAACTGGAGATGACTATCCAAGCTTTTGTTCTTTGTTTAGATTATTGTAGATGAACAGATGCTCAGATATATTCATCATTTAACACGGATTCCTCATTTTTCTGGACTGAATAAAACGTGCATTGAATTTAAGGAAATGCAAACGTGAGACGTCATTTATATTTGACCCATCAAAATGAATGCGGTCATTTATTTACAGAATCAAAATTTAACATCAAACATTTACATTAATTTGGCAAATTATGAAAATAACAACATAAGCAATCAATCAGGAAAAATCATACGGCCATGATCTTTCCGTTGCTTCACCACAGACATTTATGAAAACTGTACAATTATGATCTTTTACCCACATGAATGTGGGTGAGCATTTTACACAGACATTTCTAAAATATCTGGAAGAATTTCTACTTGATAGAAAAGTTTAAAGATGGAAAGAAGTTTAGAGGGAGTAAGATGGTGTGTGAGGGGAGAAATGTGTTCACCAGAATCGACACTCTCCGGCTTTCTTCAGCTTTTCCTTACAGTACACTTAGGTGATGAAATCGGCTCCTTTACCTGGAGATGTCTCAGGTGAGATTCCGTTTAACGCACCCTTTCAGCATCTCAGTAGGATGCTGTTACTCGTCCGAAGTAATGGCGAGGCTCTGTTCGACACATATTCACCTCAGTGGAAAATGTTATAATCCCATGGAACTCGGAAGAGCTCTGTTGTCAGGATCATCCCGTCTCTCACAGAACTGGTTGGACTGTGTATCCAGCAGAACTCCAACAGCACTCCATCAGAACTTCAACAGAACCAAGACCGAGTAGACCAGGAAGTACTGACATTTTAAAGAGCTGTTTCCCGGTTCACTTTTGGGATTTGTTCATTGGTCAGAAACGACCAGACGGGGTGTGTTTTGTGACGTAAGAGGTTAGAGACAGCGAGAATTGTTATGAAACAGATCAGAAATGTTCTCACAGACAGAGAGAGTTTTGTTTTGGCGCTGTTTCAGCAACAGGTGCCAAAACTTCTCTATTTACGTCTGAGAGGATGTTAAAAACATGACAGTTTTAACATAACAACTTGTTTTGCGTTTTATTCCAACCTTGGACCAACTTACACTTGCTCATTCAAAAGCAGAAATCAGAAAAGGCATAATTACTCTGTAACAGCTTTGACATGAGAATAAAAATCATTACACAGTTAATAAAATTGATTAGTTCACTGCCACATCTAAAATGGTTTGAACTAAGACACTTTGATTATCAACATTTGAAAAATAGTAATGATAATAAAAAGAGAGTGTTCTTTTCACTTGAATCTTCAAGAAAGAAAGTCTCAGGATGGGTGAACCTGTATTTCTGAGTTCAAATCAATGAAATGACAGTCCCTGTCCCACAAGGTTCTTAAGGTCAAGATTTTTGACCTTAGACTTAGTTTTTGACATGGGCCTAGTCCACTACAGTATTGTGCATAATTTTTTGCAGGATCTAAACAACAAACAATTTTTGATTGACTCCATCTGCTATACACTTTCTCTTAACTGGAAACAACAAAGACATCTCTGGATAGGTTCTTCTTTGTTGAAACATTTAATCTTTTATTCAAAAGGCTTCTTCTGTCATGGAGCTGCAACAAACTCAGTCTTATAAACAGCACCTTCTAAGTAATCACACCTTGATTGTTGAACTAGTCTTGTTTTCATATTTTACCAACAGTAAAGACTCTTAGCTAAGATTTTTATGAGATGCAAAATAGTTTCCACGCTTTCTTCAAGATATAAAACATTTTTCAACTGCAGTCAAATTCAAATGACTAGTCTGATTTAGTGTCAGTAAATTAGATTGTTAATCTGAAAAAAAAAGGTTTTATTTTTTTTTTTTAGCTAAAGAAGCCAGCTGATTGCACTGAGACTTTACTTTGATCCATTACAACCCTGAGCATAGAGTGGCATGTGACAGAGCAGAGGTAAAGACTTTTCTAAAAGTAGGAAACCTTCAGTCCAACTAGACTCAGGTAGGACAGCAATTTACTCAAACAGCTAGGAGGTGGAGGGGGTGGGGATCAGGTTGGGGGTTTGGGATAAGAAGACAGGAAAGGGATATGAATAGACATAATACCAACCAACAGTCCCAAAATACCTGCTATTAATGTGCAAATTATACAGCAACATTGAAGCTGGATCAACTTTTGTTGAAGGAGCTATGGGAGTTTTGTCCAACTCTGGCACATGTTTCAGTCGCCTATTTATTTTTCATAAAAACCATTTGTAATTCCAGTTTATAGGGCATGTCGTTTTTGTAGTCAGATGTCACAAAAGATTATTTTGCTAATTAACAATATAAAAATAATTTCACGCATAAAGATGCACACATTGAGCCAACAACCCATTTCATCTGTGCTTTAAGTTGGTTCTGACTTCACAATTGTCTGTAGTTTAGTTAATGAAAGAGTGTAGTTGCGTTGGATACGATTAAATTCAGGACCTAAACTCACTTGTGCAAGTTCTTGTAAAGGTATTGTGCTGAATGGTTTTAATTACAAAGATTTAGATTTTTAGGTCAGTGTGTTATGGTTTTGCTCATGCAAAATAAATTTTGACATCTGTGTAGAGACAGTAGTCTTTGGCTCCATATTTAGATCTACTGATGTTAGTGATGTCGTGTTTTAACACTGAAAGGATTTCATGGCAGCTCAAAAAGAACTCAATAACCTGACAGCTCATGTTTCTTTACCCACATTTTATCAGAATAAACTGGTGACCAACAAGTAGCAGTAAATATCAGGATTAATTTTTATTTTTTTT